GAGGAGGCAGAAATGGAGGAAGGGGACTAAGGTGCCAAGTTTGTTTCTATACTGGGCATACAGCTGATAGATGTTGGCACAGGTTTGATATGAACTTTGTGCCAAACACTGGAAACAGCAGCACTACCAACAATGGAAACCAACAGCAAAGGAACCAGTCCTTCTCTCCCACAGTTCATTCAACCAGTTTGATGATGAACAATGCTCCCCCAAGCACCAATGGTGATGAAAGAAGTCAAGTGGACCTGTGGTATCCAGACTCAGGAGCAAGCAACCATGTGACATATGACTTGCAGAACCTCAACATTGCCTCAGATTATCAAGGTTCAGAAAAGGTTCAAATTGGTAATGGTAAGAAACTGAACATTTCCCATGTTGGCAATTCTATTTTAAGCTCTAGTAATTATGACTGTCCCTCTTCTTTTGTCCTAAAAAATCTCCTACATGTTCCAAACATAACTAAAAACCTCATAAGTGTTTCCCAGTTTGCTCTTGACAACCATGTTTACTTTGAATTTCATCCTCACCTTTGCCTTGTGAAGGATCAGTCAACAGGCCAGATTTTGCTAGAAGGGAAGGTTAACCAAGGTCTCTATAGTTTCAGCCTTTCAAGCTCCAATGATGGTCCCAGTTCAGTTTATCCAGACTCCTCTCTTAGCCACATTTCAATCAACTCCTCAGAAAAAGACAAACAAGACATTTCTATTTGGCATTCCAGACTTGGACATCCCTCATTAGAAATTGTTAGGAAAGCTTTGAGTAGTTGTAATATTCCTTTTGCTATTAATGAAAATAAGGAGTTTTGTCAGTCTTGTTTACAAGGAAAATCCCACAAACTACCTTTTCCTAATTCAGTTTCAAATGATTATGAATTGCTAGAGCTCATCCACACAGACTTGTGGGGACCAGCTCCAATAAAATCCACTGGTGGCTACTCCTATTATGTGAATTTCATTGATCACAAATCAAGATTCTCCTGGTTATACCTCCTTAAGGCAAAATCTGATACTGTTGCTGCTTTTTGTCACTTCAAAAACCTGGTTGAGAATCAATATGACAAGAAGATTAAAATTGTTCAAAGTGACTGTGGCACTGAATTTAAGGCCTTGACACATTTCTTTTCTGAAAATGGGATTAGGCATAGAATGTCTTGTCCATATACTCCTGAGCAAAATGGACTAGCAGAAAGAAAGCATAGGCATATAGTTGAAACTGGGCTGTCACTTCTTTCTCAAAGTAATCTTCCTTCAAAATTCTGGGATCATGCTTTCACCACTGCATGTTATATTATAAACTGCTTACCTTCCAAAGTCATCAAATATAAATCCCCCCTTGAGGTGCTGACAGATAAAAAGCCAAACTACTCCAATCTTAAGATTTTTGGCTGCCTTTGTTTTCCATATCTTAGGCCTTACAACAAACATAAGTTGGAATACAGAAGTCAGCCCTCAACTTTTCTAGGCTACAACAATCACCACAAAGGGTTCAAAGTTCTTTTGCCCAACAACAAAATCATCATAACCAGACATGTTCACTTTGATGAATCCAAATTCCCTTTCCTTGATAACCAAGTAACCAACAAGAACAGTCACAGACAAGAACAACTTTCTACAAGTTTCTTCTCTCCTCAAATGTTACCTCATGCCAATCACACTAATCATTGTCCATCTCCTGTAACCAATGAACCACCAGCAACCAATCTCACTCCTCAACACAATCACTCTTCTTCACATAGTCCAGCTCCTCAAATAACACACTCTTCTTCCAACATTCCTACTCCTTCCCCACATAGCCCATCTCAAACCAACTCCATTCCCATTGGAGAGCTTTTTATAGATTTGCCAATACAGGATAATATTCAGTTACCTGCTAACTCTGATTTGAATGTGACTGAGGAAAACAGGTCTTCTCAACACCCCATGATCACAAGATCAAAACATGGGATCTACAAACCCAAGGCCTTTGCACAGCAAATTGATATTCATACTGAAGAGCCCAAGAACTTTGAGGAGGCCATACTTCACAAACCATGGTCAGAAGCTATGAATGAGGAGTACAAGGCATTGATCAGAAACAAAACTTGGACTCTATGTGAAGCTCCTCAACATGCCAACATCATTGGGTGCAAATGGGTGTATAAAGTTAAAAAGAAAGCAGATGGCACTGTGGCTAGACATAAAGCAAGGTTGGTAGCCAAAGGATTCACACAACAAGCAGGGTTTGATTACACTGACACTTACAGTCCAGTGGTAAAACCAGTGACAATAAGAACAGTGCTATCCATTGCCCTCACAAAATCATGGAAACTCAGGCAACTGGATTTTGACAATGCTTTTTTGAATGGTGAGTTGGACACAGATCTCTATATGGATCAACCCACTGGCTTTGAGCAAAGATCTTCTGATGGGAAACCCCTAGTATGCAAACTCAACAAGTCCATTTATGGACTCAAACAGGCTTCTAGAGCTTGGTCTTCAAAGTTGACTGCTATACTTAAGAGTTTTGGTTTCAGTGTTTCAAAGATGGATCCCTCACTTTATCACAGACATACTAAGGCTGATTCTACTCTCATCCTCACCTATGTTGATGACATGATAGTCACAGGGAGCAATGAGAACTACATACAGCAACTTGTCAGTGACCTGTCCAAAGTTTTTTCCTTAAAGGATTTGGGTGAGCTCAAATATTTTCTTGGTCTTGAAGTTATCAACACTGAAGATGGTTGCCTTTTGTCTCAAAAAGAATACATTCTTGATATTCTTAAAAAGGCTGGAATGGATAAATCAAAGCCTTTGAGTACCCCAATGGTTAGTTCACCTATCTCAAAATTTGAGGGTCAACCATTGGACAATGGATATACTTTCAGAAGTTTGATTGGAGCTTTGCAATATGCTAGCATTACCAGGCCAGACATTGCCTTCAGCATCAATAAACTGAGTCAGTTCATGCAACAACCAATGACCACTCATATGAAAGCTCTGAAAAGGGTATTGAGATATTTGGCAGGAACCTTAAATCATGGCTTACATTTTTTCAAGCATTCTGCCTTCAAAATATCAGCTTTTGCAGATGCTGATTGGGCCTCGGATATTGATGATAGAAAATCGACATCCGGCATTTGTGTCTTCTTAGGCAAAAACCTGGTTTCCTGGAGCTCAAAAAAACAGCATCTTGTTTCACGGTCGAGCACTGAATCAGAGTTAAGGAGTCTGGCATCTGCAACTTGTGAGATTATTTGGCTCCAATCATTGCTCAAAGAACTCCTCATTATTTCAAATACTCCTTCTGTCATTTGGGTAGATAACCGAGGTGCTATATCTCTTGCTTCCAACCCAGTTCATCATTCCCGAACCAAACACGTGGAGATTGACATGCACTTCATTAGAGAAAAAGTTCTGAACAAAATCATTTCAGTTCAGCATGTTCCCTCTCTTTTTCAAGTTGCGGATATTCTTACTAAGGCATTAAGTGGCCAATTCTTCAATCGCCTGCGCCATTCCCTTAATGTTCATGTTCAGCCGACTTTCGAATTGAGGGGGCATAATGGAGATATCAAAGGTGTTGCATTGTGTGGATCATTATCCACGTCACCGGTTGAATCCATCTCAGAGGCCACGTCAAATGGACTCTACTCACCATCAGCTTCATACAGTACAAGCCCAGCACGTGCCAGCTCCATGCATGCTAACATGCATGACAAATACTGCCAAACAATCCCAACGGCTTGCAGCAGAGAAAGGGAGACTGCAGCTGTCACTTAGTACCTAGGAATCTTTTTTGAATTTTGATCCTTATCCATATTGTGCGAGATAGCTAGGTTCCAGAGAGTTCTCATATGATTATATATATGAACACCAGTGTAAGACAAAGATGATCATCAAGCAAATTATATTGAATTATCCAAAGGCTATTTTCCTTTGTTCTTTCTTTTCATGAATCGACCTAAAGTCTTTCAGGGAGTAGTGTTATCCTGCAGTTCATTATCTCAGTTGGTTAGGTTTTAATAGCTATCTAGGTCCTGTGGGAAGTACAATGGCTAGCTATTTTTGGGAGCCACTTTGACTTGTTTGAGTTAAGTTAGCGGGCGGTAGGGAGGGCTCACGGGATCTTAGCGATTACCTTTGTCGTGAGGTTTTCACTATCTCTAGTTGGTAGTTAAGAAGCGGTGGCTTCTTCAATCTCATTTGGATGTTTGTATAGTCTTAGGCCTTCGAACTTTGTATTTTTTTGGGAACTATAAATTCTATCGTTTCGAAAAAAAAAAAATCGAGGTATCATGAAAAGAAAATACAAGTCATGATATCTCTAGAAGTGATTTAAAACTAAAAATAGTTGGTAGTCAAAAGTAGATCACATTAAGTCACTATCGAATAGATGTTAAAAAATTATTATTGTAAAGGAATTATTTGGTGTGAAATTATGTAAACGTGTATTATATGCATATAAATCAGATCAATTATGATAATATTTGAAACCCCACTTTTGTACTATCTATGTTCGATTCATATTGGGAGCAAAAGTTGATGTTGGGTTTGGAGATAGAGTATTTTTTTTTTTTTTTTTTTCCATCAAAAACATCGGGGAAAAAGTAATTATATGTATAATGCACATAAGATAAAAATGTGATAATTAGAGTTAATGTAGGTAGTCCAATATCAATGGTAATTAATGTTATTAGAAACATACAAGTAGATGAAAATTATTTTTTTAAAACATATATTAGTGATAAATTTGTATTTATTTTTTAATCATTATAGTAAGATAAAAGAGATAAAATGAGACGAAATAAATAGTATGTTTTTGTTTCCTTTTATTTTCATTCTCAATATTACTAATCACATAGACATAAAATAAATAAATAAATAAATAAAAACTTATATCCATTATATATCCATTATAAAATTGCAAACTCAAATAATTTTTTTTTTTTTTTTTTTTTTTTTTTTTTTTTTTTTTTTTTGTTGGTCTTTTGTTTGGTTTCCAAATAAAAGTTCCTATACTTAGCAAGCCTTCCTTTTGAGACACACAAAGTAATTAGTTTCTTTATAGTACTTCTCATCAACCAATATAGGGCTCTTGAGGAGTTTTTGAAAATAAAGCCTAAACAATTCATCCATCACCATGCCACTCCCTCTAATTCCAAAGTGTTTCTCTATAAGCCCTTCAATTACAACTCTTAAGTGCCAAGTCAAGGCTTGCGGGTCCGGTTTGCATCTCATGGCCCCGCCCAAGTTGGCCATTCTTTCTATATGAAACAAACCATTTGCCTCAATTAAAGTCTTCAACTCTGATGGAGAAGGGTAATAGAATGGCAAGTTGAATGAATCCACCTTATCTTCACTTAACTTCCCCTGTCAAAGAAGAAATATTGACATATGTTTCAGATTAGAAATTCTACGAAACAATCGGATGGAATTATCGGATGACTCCCTTATGGAGTCATTCATAATTTTATGGACAGACATGTGTCCAATGTGTATTTAATGCACGACACGTGTCAATACACCATTTGTGAATAACTATAGATGACTCCATAAACCGAGTCATCTGATGGCTCTATAGCAAAACCGCATTGCAGATATTTGATTGTGTAACTAACAAAATTCAATAGAGTCATCGGATGGTTTTCTTATAAAGTCATCCATCACTTAATGTATTGACATATATCCAAACATTTGTTATTATAGACCACGTGTCAATACGCTATTTGGGAATAAGTATGAATGGCTCCATAAGTCGTGCCATCTGACGGCTTCATAGCAAAACTGGTGTAACTAAAACGAAATAAAAACTAGGATCGAATGTCTAAACATCATAGGTCTAACATCGTGTTAGCAGAAATTAATATCTCGTACAAAATATAATGACAGTTGAATAAGAAACAAATAAGAATTTTCTTAATTGAGTGTTTCCTTAAAAGAGATAAGGGAAAAAAAAAAAGGAAATATATTGTAACTTAAAGAAAATGTGCCTATATATTATGCTAAAATGTGTAATATATCTTTGTGACAAGCTAATATAAAACATAAACTTAATAAAAAACTAACAAGAATATGATTTTCCTATATTGAATGATAAATTTATGCATTGCTCCAAGTAATAGTTGATATTTTCTTCTAAAATATTATTGTATGTATACTTTTTTGCTTACAAGTAAATGAGAAACAATAAAAAGAAACTGGTGTTGGAAATAAATGAACCAATACACTCAAGAGTAATACAACAAATTGATTTTATTATAAATTATTACACATGTATTACTCTCACAACTCACTAATGTTTATATGTAAAC